ATGACTAAGGTGAACCTGGGGGATCTCCTCTTCCTGAGAGAAGGACGTGGACTGACAGGTAGCAACAGAAGTGGGATTCTGGCCACACACCATTTCAGCTGCCAAACCATATGGGGCTTGAAATGAGAACAGGTAATGGTGGCACCTGGAAACTGCAAAGAGCAGGCAGAAGGTAAATGGCGGGCCTGCCACCGGGAGTGAGCACACTCTTGCTGGCTTGCTGAGAATGACCTCCTGCATCACAGCGTGGCAGCTCCCACTGAGGACCTCCCTCCCTCCCTAAGCCTGGCCCTGCAACGGAAGCGGAACATACACTGTGCACTTCCATGCCGACTATTTTGGATGAAGGCCTTAAAGAATAAATGATGGATGGCGCAGTGGCACACGCCGGTAATCCCAGCAGCTGGGGAGGCTGAGGCAGGAGGATCTCGAGTTCAAACCCAGCCTCAGCAATTTAGCTTATAAGACCCTGTCTCTAAATAAATATACAAAGGGTTGGGGATATGGCTTAGTGGTTAAGCACCCCTGGGTTCAATCTCCTGTACCAAAATAAAATAAAATAAATGATGCCTTTCTGGTTTTCTTAAAAAGAGGATCCTGAACAGAATTTAAACTCTGGAGGGCAATTCTTCATTCACTTCTGGGCTGGTGATGTCCTTGGGTCTCATACATAAGGCTCTTTCCTGCTGCACCAAGTAGCCCCGATCTCCTAGACTTCGGAATTCATCAGCTGGATTTAACGTTTATTCTTTTATTTCTCTCTAATGTTTTTCTGTGAAACTGTATTACTATATAGTGATATAGTAATATTATATAGTCCCTCTGAACTGCTTCTAATATTCATGGACAGGGAATTCGATGATTAGTCTTGTAAGAATTGTGCGTGAAGTAGGGGCCAGCAGACTTGGAGTGAGGAAGGCCTGGGAGCTCTCCTCTGCATGATCAATTTCGGACTGTTCAGAAGCCTTCTATGTTTTCCTGCAAGTCTTTTGATGTGGTCCAGCCTAGACAAGTTGACCTCTAGTAAGAGGGTGACAGCACACACAATCTGTGCATAGGATCTTTGCCAAGGGCAGTAAGCCAGAAGGAAATAATATCTATACTAAGATCATTTGAGTTCAAAGTGACCAAATATATATATATATATATATATATATATATATATATATATATATATATATCTCCTCTCTCTCTCTCTCTCTATCTCTCTCTCTCATGCACAACAATGAAAGATGAAGCCAAAACACAGACTTACTCAGTTTTTCACTTTCATATTTCCACATTCCAAAAAGTTGTCTGAGCACAAATAGTCAAATAATGACATTTTTAAGTTGGAAAGAACTTTCAAAGGCCTTTAGTTTTTCTCCCTGTTTTCGTTCAGGAATCTTTTCTATTACCTCCAAAACAAATGAGTCCTGTATCAGTGTTTCTGGAAGTCTGATTTCATTAATGAAGTGAAATTCCTGACAGGAAGTAACAGGACAACACCCCGGCCACATTTGATCTGCATTTCATGGGCAAATGTTAGGTTTCTTGTAATTTATTTATTTATTTATTTTGGCACTAGGGATTTAACTCAGGGGTGCTTTACCACTGAGCCACATCCTGAGTCCTTTTTATTTTTTATTTTGAGATGGGGTCTTGCTAAATTGCTTATGACCTGGCCAAGTTGCTAAGGCTGGCCTTGAACCTGAGATCCTCTTGCTTTAGCCTCCCAGGTCACCACAGCCAGATTCTTATAGCATTTTTATGTGGAGTTATGGGATGAGAGCCCACCTGTGTGAATGGGAAGGGATCTTTCCTGTATGGGGGAACATTGCTGATGTCAGTCATCTTGGAAACAGCAGGTCCTGAGATGGAAAGTTGCAAGGCTGGGTTAGCTGGCCAGAGAGGGAATGCCAGCTTTGCAGAGCCTTCCTTTGAGGCCTCAGTGTGAGACTACTAAGTGTATCAGCTTTGAGAGACTACCAGGGTCAGGGTAGGACTGATGGACTTTGTCACAGAGGATGAAGGGAGTAAGTACTCTGAAGGAAACACAAAGAGAAGACGCGTAGCCAATCTTGAAAGAGATATGACCTGGATTCGCATTACACTTTGTGTTTATTTCTGCTTTGTTGTCCTTGAAACTTTGGAAACGTCTGGTTTAAATGTTCCAGCCTGGCCCAATGGTGTAACGGCATCTAAGAAAGAGCTGACGGTCAGTGCTTATTTCCCTAGAGCACCAGAGGGCGAATGCTGCCCTCTGAGGCTGCTGTGGATTTGGGGTGATTACTAAGAAACTCCTAAAAGAAATGTGAACTTTGAAGAACAGGAGTTGGCCTCAGAGGCCCGCCCACTCCTCTCCACGTGGTGATTTACCCATTACTGCCATCCTTTTATTAAGCAGATTGCCAGAGTTCCTATAAAAGTGATCCCTTAAATTGGCCCGAATCTGTCTCCTAGTAACTTTCACCCACAGGACTTAGCCCTTCCTCTCAAAAGCACAGAGAAAAATCATAACCACTCACATCCGTGGAGTACTTACTATAGCTGGGGACACCTTATTGAGAATTGTGCTGTGCCTCATTTATATCATTATCCCACTTTATAGACAAAGAAATTGAGACGGAGGGAGGTAAGATGACTTGCCAAGGGCAGATCCCATGAAAATGACAGGATTTAAGCTGAAACTGTCTGATGTCAGAGCCTACAGTCTTGAACTCTGAAATACTTCCTTTCTTGTCCCTGTGACATCTCCACAGAGATCTGCAGCCTCCAATCTCATCCCCAGGCCCTTTTGGGGGCCAAGCTAAATCCCCACCCCACCCCCTCACCATTTTTCTTTGGGCATGGAGCAAGGCCAAGGCATCCCTGACCAGTTAGTTAGTTCCTCCTGACCAAGGTCTGGGATAACATAAGTGATGCAAAGCACAGGTCCCCTGACCTCCAGTGACTTGCCCCACTTTGACACCCAGGACAGCCTCTGCTGAAGCCTCCGGAAGCACCATTTTAGCAACCTTCCCCTCAGGAGGCTGTGCTTTTCCTGTCTGTCCTCCACATTTCTTCTGCCAGAACAACAGGCTCAGTTTTCCCTTCTGATAAATCTGGTCACCCTAAATATGGGGCTTCAAGCAAACAGGAGTGGCTGGCCCCACGCAGCCCTCATTTCGAAATGGAGATTCACAACGGGCTCCTCTTTGCTATTTTTGAGGTCTGGTTTCTTTCTCCACACACAGTGGTTTTAAGTGAGAGGGAAGGATCTTGGCAGGGGAAAGGTGCTAGGAGAGTGAATGCACCTGGGCAGGTTTTGTTTCCCAAAATTCCCAAGACACTGATCTCTTAAGAAGCTCTGGAAAAAAGCGGGTCTTTGGTCACATGATGTCGGGAAATTCAGTGTTACCCGCACACTCCTGGAGTTCAGCAGTGTGCATGTTAAACTTTGAAGTCCTGGGAATCAAGAAACCTAATGATTTTTTGTTTAACCTGGTTTTCTATTTAAAAATGCAGCATAGTAAAAATTTGGATATGGATGATGCAGAGCTGAGGTAGCAAATGGCCCTAAGGCTTGATATATTGCTCAGATAAGTTCGATTTGGCACACACAATGCTTAAATTTTGCTTTAAATTAGTTACTAGCACTTAATACTTTGAATATTCTCATATTAATCCAGACTTGGGTGTTCTTTTTTAAAAAAATTAGAGCATCTGGAGACACTGGTCCACATTTTTGGGTGACAACCAGTGAACAGCTAGAAACAAGGGTGTAGTCTCTGAGTCACTGAAGCCCCAGGGCTTCCCTAGGCATGCAGTTGCCTCTGTCTTTGCACCCATGACTACTTGGCTGCAGTCAGCAAGCTTTTGTGTGAAGGTTTCCTTGGTGGGAGTTGGCCTGGGTGACCCCAGAAGCCTATGCATCCCTCCATTCATGCAACAGATACTGATTGTACTGTCACTGTGTGCCTGACCCTGTGGATATAAGGCATATGTATACAACAATCCCACCCTCCTAAGAGTCTAGCTGGGAACTGCAGAATGAGGAAGGGGAAGGGTAGAGGAGAGAAAAGCTGGCAAGGTCCCAACTTGCCAAAGTACTGGCTCACAGAAGTGAACTGATCTTAGGCAGCCATTATGAACCCCAGAGAAGAAGCTACTAACTTGCTCTGATTTAGGAGAGATCCCGGTTCCCAATCCATCTCAAGGCCTCAGTTTCTTCATCTGTAGAATGACTCCATTGGCCTAGAGAGTGGTGCGCATCCCTTCTAGGGTTGGCACTTAGAGATGCTAAGACTTCGTGATGAAGGAATGTCTGACTGGGCCATTCCGGAATTGTTCCACCGAATTCCAAGCAGCCCCCCTCCCTCCTTTTCCCAATCCCGTCCAGGGGCGGGCGCTGGAACAGGCCGGCTGAGCGGGCCTGGGCTCCCTGCCCGGGGGCGGAGCTGTCGCTCCGGCGTCCCGCCTCTCCACCTGGGGCTCGGCCCGGCAGATGTTACAACTTTTTCACGTTCACTCCCGCGGTGTCCCCCCCAGGCCCGCCCACCCCGTGTCTCCCTCCCTTTCCCCGCCAGGGTCCTGCCCACCGCCCTGCAGGGAGCCGGACTGTTCTGAGGACTCCGGGAGGGGCCAAGAGGCCGCCCCGGGCTGGAGGGTCGGGGGGAGGAGGAAGGGAAAGCAGAGGCAAGAGAAATTAGGAGGCGGGAGAAAACCGGGGTAAAAAGGAAGAGGAGAGTCAGAGGATGGTGGAGAGTACTTTTTGGAAGCCGTTCCGCCGCGTCTCGGGCTGGCCGGGCTGAGCTGGGGGAGAGGGATCGAGGGCGGCGCGGGGCGGGCGATCGATCCGGCGGCGGGAGGCGGCTCTGCCCGGGCCTGACCTTCCCGGAGCGCCCCGCTGCGGCCGCGCAGGTCCGACCCCGCCGTCGGGCTGCCCGTCCGGGATAAGACACTGGGCCACCCCCGGGGGCACTGAGCGCTCTGTCAGCACCCAGGCCGGCGGGCGGGCCGTGCGCCCTGGGCGCGCGAGGCAGTGAGGCCCGGGAGCCCTTCGAGCAGGGACGCGCCGGCGGACTTGGCGATGCACGCCCTCACCGGCTTCTCTCTGGTCAGCCTGCTCAGCTTCGGCTACCTGTCCTGGGACTGGGCCAAGCCGAGCCTCGTGGCTGACGGGCCCGGGGAGGCGGGCGAGCAGCCCTCGGCCGCTCCACCGCAACCTCCCCATATCATCTTCATTCTCACCGACGACCAGGGTTATCACGACGTGGGTTACCATGGCTCAGATATTGAGACCCCTACACTGGACCGGCTGGCAGCCGAGGGCGTCAAGTTGGAGAATTATTACATCCAGCCTATCTGCACACCTTCTCGGAGTCAGCTTCTCACTGGCAGGTAGGCATGGCCCGGACCCTTGAGGCTGGGCATCCAAGCCCCCCAGTACACACTCAATATATTTTCCCTGTTGGAACAACCCTTTCTGGGACCCGGGAAACCCGTACTATGGGCTGGTTTTGCTTCTAGTTGGCTGTGGGATGGTTGGTAAGTCCTTGCCCTCTCTGGGCCTCAATTTCCCTCCCCTTACACTGACTAGATTTGTTAATCTTTGAGATCTCACTCTGGTGTTCTAGGACATGCACATTCACACCATGTGGAGAAGACATCTGGTCATCCCTTTGTTAGAGGAACATGGCAGCCTCTGACACTTATTTGGAATACTGCTTCTATTCACAGACTCTGAGCCTCTGTGCAGGTCACTTAACTTCTCTAAGCCTCAGTTTTCTTGTCTATGCAATGGGTCAAAGAGCAGTTTTTATCTTGAAAGGGAGCAGTGAGCATGGAATGAGTTGTATATGATCTGTTTGGATATCCATAAGTGGCAGCCTTGGTGTCACCAGAAGGATCTGGGTCCCTGCACTACCTCCCTGTAGTTAGATGACTACATTGGGAGAACACTAAGGAATTGATAGGTGGAAAAGAAAGACGCCTAGGATGCTGAGACCCATGTAGCCTGGGGCTGGTTACTTCACTTCACCAAGTCTCTGTTCTTCCATCTGCAAAATCCTCCCAAGTTCCAAGTTGGCTGGGAGCCCCAAGGAGATGTGTTGCTCTCTCCAAAAGGAGTCATCCCCAGGCAGGCAGCAGGATTACAGGATTAAAAGAGCAGGGAAACAGGAGGTGGGGGTGTGGAAGGCAAACTCTGGCCACTTAGGAGAAAATCCTCTGGCTGGGCTGAAGTTAATCCCCCTTGGAAGGGGGCCAAGGCACACTTTCTCTCAAGTTCTACCCCAGAGTCCTGTGTGTGATCTCAGGAGCCAGAGCCTTAGTCTTCTTTCTCCTGGATGGGAGAAACTGAGGCACGAAGTCAGGGACAGCTCAGCCTGGTACCTGTGCCCATGTTGGGGTCTCGTGGAATAGGGCTGCGAGAAGAGCCCTTTTTTTCTACTATTTGGCACTCAGCGGTTAGGTCCAGATACAGAGGGAGAAGAGGAGAAAGAGGACGAGAGGTGAGGTGTGCATGAGTTAAGGGGGGGGGGGCATGGGAGTGCCAGACATCACTAACCCCCTGAGGAGGAAGGAGGAATCCGCTTTCCAGAAGAGTTGTGCACAGGTTAGCATTTCTCTCTCTGGAGAGCGGAGACTTTAGGTTTAAGCAGCATTGGAATGAGCAGCCAGCAAAGGCAGCTCTCCAGCCCTGATCTGTGAAGTTAGCTGAGCATGGCTGCCCAGCCTCTGCCCCCACCCTCTGCAGCTGGCTCCATGTGACAGATACTTACCGATCTTGTTAGCATTTGTTAATGCATCCAGTCACATTTGGTGAAGCTGGAGAAAGAAGCTGGAGTGAGCCAATACTTCTCATGTTACTTATTTGCAAATGGGATTTGGTGACTCTTAGCTGGCCCACCCACATTACAAGCCAGTGCTCCATGGAGCCCCACCCAGAGGCTCCCCTGGGATTCAGATCCTAGGGTGCTTCTATCAAGTTCAGACATTTATTAGCTTGACTAAGGCCCTGAGAGGCTGTATCAGCAAAAGCTTTTGAGCACGAGGTGGATAGACTGGGCTCAGGGTTCAGCTTTACTGCTTGCCAGCTGTCTGACTGTGGGCCAGTTTCTGCATTTTGTCAAGCCTCAGTTTCATTATATGTAGAATGGGTGTAATCAGAGTCTCCCTGTAGGCTTTTAAAATGAGGATTAAATGAGATAATGTATGTGTGTAGCACATAATGTTAATATGACAGTAGTAGTTAATTATAGCTAACCAAAATAACACCTCTAAGATAAGGAAGCCAAAACAGAGAGCCCTCCTCCCCGCATTTAAGGTGTCAAATACTCAGGTCTTGACTAACTTGGATGCCTGAGGGTGAGAAAAAGGTGTGGGATTCTAACACATTTGTGAAGTTCCAGGCTTCTTATTTACTCTGGGACTTTTAAGACACCATAAACAGATCACATGGGGTCCTTGACCACAGAACGGGGAAGAAGGGCTATGAATGAATAAATGAGGAATTCAGAATTCTGCGGAACATCAACTCCTGCCGCAGGGCGTTAGCCTGCCTGAGTGACTTGGATGGAGGGACTGCATGAGCTCACAGTCATGTGGGAGTTTTGTCTCCTAAAATTTGGGAACTAGATGGGTCTTAGAGGCTTCCCATTCTAGCTAGCCCCCTTGTAAACATGAGCAAACTGAGGTCCCCACATGAAAGGAGATGGGGGCAACCTGAAGAGTTCCTGCTTGCACTGTGCTTGGATTTATGTTCAAGTCTGCTTTGCCCCTGACCCTGAGTGACCCTTCTCTTCCTCTGACCTTGGTTTCTTTCTGTGTTTTGAGGATTGAACCCAGCAGTGCTCTACCACTGAACCACATTCCCAGCCCCTTTTATTTTTATTTTGAGACAGGGTCTCAGTTACGGAGGGTCTTGCTAAATTGCTGAGGCTGGCCTTGGGCTTTTGAGCCTCCTGCCTCAGCCTCTGAGTCACTGGATTTATAGGTGTGTGCCACTCCACTGCACCCAGCTGATCTTTTTTTTTTTTTTTTTTAGAGTAGTTGAATAAATTAGGTGAGGATTTGAGTCTCCTTTGGCTTAAAAACCCTCTGACAGTCATCACTCATTCATTCATTTGTTCATTCATTGGTCCATTCCACAAGGAACCAAGAGTCCTCTCAACATGACTTTGGTGCTGGGAATACAAAGCCAAGGAAAGGACAGTTCCATTACATATCACTGGGTCTGAGAGTATGTACAACTGGGAATACTCCCAAGGGCAAATAGGACAATGAGGGTGTGTACTAAATGCTGGGGGCCCTAGAAGTAAAAGTCACTCATTCTTCAAGAAAGCAGTGGGAGATATGACAGCAGGACTAACATTTGGGTAGGGCTTTCAAGAGTGAGTATGAGTTTGCTCCGGAGAATGGGACTTGCTCTAGGCTCCACAGCAATTTGGTAGCTTACTGCTCAGGACCTTTGAAGTTTGGAGCCAGACTACTTAGGATACAAATCCTACTCCAATTACTAACTATGTGAATTACCAGGCGAGTGATTTAACCTGCCAAACCTCAGTTTCCTTATTTGGGAAATGGAAATAATAATAGGTACCTTCTAGTTGGTGGTGACAATTTAGTGAGATCATTCATTAAAAAAAAAGACTTATGCAGTGCCAAGACACACTGAGTGCTTGGTGTTAGCTATTATCAATGTTATTATTAATCTAGATTCTTAACTTCTCAACTTATTAATTATTAATTACTTCTCAACTTATTAATTATTATTAATCTAGATTCTTAACTTCTCAACTTCTCTTAACTTCTCAACTCCCTAGCTGTGTGATCCTGGGCTTAAACATTCTGAGCTTTGATCTCTATAAAATGATATCAACTGAAAATACCTATTTCGGTTAATGTTGTGGATCAATGAGAATGCTGAGCCCTTAGGTAGTACCTGGTGGTTATTGTTACCATCTTTTGCTGATAGTGCTGGCACCAGAGCCCCCCTCAGAGTGCTATTGGGGGTGGGATTAGCAGGAGCGGTGGTCTGTAGCTCATCTTTGCCTTCTGTGTCCTCCCTTCCCCTGACCAGGTACCAGATCCACACAGGTCTCCAGCACTCCATCATCCGCCCTCGCCAGCCCAACTGTCTACCCCTGGACCAGGTGACACTGCCACAAAAGCTGCAGGAGGCAGGTTACTCCACTCACATGGTGGGCAAATGGCACCTGGGCTTTTACCGAAAGGAGTGCCTGCCCACCCGGCGGGGCTTTGACACCTTCCTGGGCTCGCTCACAGGCAACGTGGACTACTATACCTATGACAACTGTGATGGCCCCGGGGTGTGTGGCTTCGACCTGCACGAGGGTGAAAGCGTGGCCTGGGGACTCAGTGGCCAGTACTCCACCATGCTCTATGCCCAGCGCGCCAGCCACATCCTGGCCAGCCACAACCCCCGGCGGCCCCTCTTCCTCTACGTGGCCTTCCAGGCAGTGCACACGCCGCTGCAGTCTCCTCGCGAGTACCTGTACCGCTACCGCAGCATGGGCAACGTGGCCCGGCGGAAGTACGCAGCCATGGTGACCTGCATGGATGAGGCTGTGCGCAACATCACTTGGGCCCTCAAGCGCTATGGCTTCTACAACAACAGTGTCATCATCTTCTCCAGCGATAATGGTGGCCAGACTTTCTCGGGTGGCAGCAACTGGCCACTCCGAGGACGCAAGGGCACTTACTGGGAAGGTGGTGTGCGAGGCTTGGGCTTTGTCCACAGCCCCCTGCTCAAGCGAAAACGCCGGACCAGCCGGGCACTGGTGCATATCACCGACTGGTACCCAACTCTGGTGGGTCTGGCTGGTGGCACTGCATCGGCAGCTGATGGCCTAGATGGCTATGATGTGTGGCCAGCCATCAGCGAAGGCCGGGCTTCGCCACGCACAGAGATCCTGCACAACATTGATCCGCTCTACAACCACGCCCGGCACGGCTCCCTGGAGGGTGGGTTTGGTATTTGGAACACCGCTGTGCAGGCCGCCATCCGTGTGGGTGAGTGGAAGCTGCTGACGGGAGACCCCGGCTATGGTGACTGGATCCCTCCACAGACACTGGCTGCCTTCCCAGATAGCTGGTGGAACCTGGAGCGCATGGCCAGCGTCCGCCAGGCTGTGTGGCTCTTCAACATCAGCGCCGACCCTTACGAACGAGAGGACCTAGCTGGCCAGCGGCCTGATGTGGTCCGCACCCTGCTGGCTCGCCTGGCCGACTATAACCGCACCGCCATTCCTGTGCGCTACCCGGCTGAGAATCCTCGGGCTCATCCTGACTTTAATGGGGGTGCTTGGGGGCCCTGGGCCAGTGATGAGGAAGAAGAGGGAGAAGAGGAGGAGGAAGGCAGGTCTCGAAGCTTCTCCCGGGGTCGCCGCAAGAAAAAGTGCAAGATTTGCAAGCTTCGATCTTTCTTCCGTAAACTCAACACCAGACTGATGTCCCACCGGATCTGACGGGTGGGGGTGGCAGGGATCTTCATTGCCCTGAATAGACTTACCCCCTTCAGTCTGGCCCTACTCATTCTCAGGGAGAAGCCTGAGGTCAAGCCTATATGTGAAGGGTAGGAGGGTGTAGAACTGTTCAGCTGAACAGGTTGGGAACATGGCTGGGGTGGGGGTGGGAATAAACCAAACTGGGAGGCCTGGGTCCCAATCCTGCCTCTTCACTGACTTGCTCTGTGACCTCAGGTGACCTACATGAGCTTTTATCCTCAGTTTCCTCATCTGTAAAATGAGGTCTCGTGACTTTGTGACTGCTATGCACCTTGTACCTGGGGATATAGTGGCGCCCTTGCCCCCTTGAAGCTTATGGAAAGGCCTTCCCCTTCACTCTGGGCCTCTGTGGTGCTGCTTGGGTGACGGGCCACAGGGAGGCAACTCCAGGCCAGACCCTAGCTGGGGCATGGTGGGCTGGCTACTCTCTAAAGAGACCCGTGAGAGCTGAGGGTAAAGGTGCCAGGTAGGGAGGGCCCTCATGTGGCCTGGGCCCTCATGTGGCCTGGGCAGTCCTGGTGCCAGATGGCACTGGGAACCATGCTGGAAAGCTCTTCTTTCTGCTTCTAGGCACCCAGAGAAGTTATCTGGGCCCTAACCTACTATAGTATCAAAAGTGGCAGAAACAACTATGAAAAGAGCCCCAGAACCAGTATTTTCTTTGACCTCGGCGTGGTCCTTTCGCTCTGGGCCTTCCTTTCCCTATCTGCACATGGAGATGCAGTCCTGGCTCTGCCTACCTCCCAGGGCTGCAGAACACTGGCCAAGCTACAGGTCACAGAGGAGCCCATGAACCTGATTAAAGTGCCCTGACACAGAGGCAAGGGATGCAGTGCAGTCTGTGAGCACATGTGTGGGTACAGGTGTGTGTGCATGTGCGTCCTGAGGGCAGGTGTGAGCTCACGGTTGAGTGAGGGAAGGGGAGAGAAGGTGGACAGCTTCGCTAGGGGGCAGAACATCTGGATTCCACTGCATGTCCTCAGGCAAACCCCTGGCCCTCTCTGGGCCTCAGTGTCTCCCTGTGCACAGCGGATCATCTGAGAGCTCTTTCTACTTGGCCACGGTGGGCGTCCGGTGTGCGCGTCTGGGGGTGCGGTGCCGGGTGTGGGGGCGGGGCGCGGGGTTGCGCAGCCTTCCTGCTGCACGGCGCTCGCTCCTCATCGCACACAGCGTTCTGCATATCTCCCTTCAGGTTCCAGTCGGCGCGGAGTGTGTAGGCGAAAGCCCTGCTGTGAATTTTGAAAATAGTTATTTTTGTCGCTGGCAAAGGAGGCCTGTTAGGACTCGTCAGCTTGTGGATGAGCGGGATGGGTGGGGTGGGGTGGGTGCGGTGCGTGGGGTGTTCGGGTGTTGGTTACAGTGCCGCATCCCCACCGCAGTGATTGAGCCCAGTAGTGGGGGTCTGGCCTGCGGCTGCAAGGTGAAAATGACCATCCTGTCCTGGCTCCTTCCTCTCAGCCCTGTTCTGTTTGCCTCTTGTCACTTCCCCATCTGAAACCTTTCCTGGCTTCCCTGATGTCGAGGCTTCTGCTAGGGCAGGGACCAGGGCTGCAGAGGCCTCCAGAGTCCAGTGACCCCAGCATTTTTGCTTGCTCAGGAGGGAAGTTCTGAAGAAGTTACCCATTAGAGTAATGTTGTGGCCTGGTGTACACCATGGGCTGGGCTTTCCACTGTCTGCCCACAATTCAGGATGCTCCAACTCTGCCAGGTGCTTTGTGACTGCTATGCACCTTGTACCTGGGGCCATAGTGTACCACTATTTCTGCAGCACGTTGCTAGACCATCCGGGGCCTCCTTGCAGCTCCAGGTTTGTGTGAATTGTATCAATGCCTCTGGTGCCTGCTAAGTTGGCCTTGTGCAAGGTGGCCCAGTCTCCAGCTGTAGCCCCTGTTTCCCTTCCTGGGACCTGTGCCTTTTGGGGCCACAAGTGCAGGACCATAAATGATCTTTTCTGCCCTCCCCTGGGGATCAAGACCTACTACTCTCTGCTGTTAACTTGGCCCCAAACCATAGAGACAGTTGGGGAGGGCAGCTGATTCCTGTTCCTCATGCCCTGACAAGGAGTCTGGGCCCATGTCTCCATCAGGTTCTCAAACCCAGTCCGGAGTTCATGTAACTCAGAGCCCCGCTCAACCCAGAAACCAGCAAATAGCCCAGGAGCCCCATTTAAGCTTTAGCCTACAATCTGGTGGTCCAGGCCTGAAAACTGGTGGAGGTTCTCTCTCAGGGGTTGTGCCATGAGAGACTCAGCCTGCTGTGGCCTCTGCTGTGCCCAGCAATCAGCATTCAGCATGTCTAGTGTCCTTCTGCTCTGGCATCCTGTAGTCCCCTGAGTTCTCTCTCAGTGTGCTGGGTCTGCACTCTGCCAGACCCCCATATGGCACTGTTGGCAGGTGCTTACAGCACCCCAGTCTCTGTAATAGGCAGGAGCTGGGGTGGGGGAGAACCAGAGTTAGTCCTGGCCTTTTCAGTCATACATCTGGGGGAACGAAGCCCAGAGATGCTTGCTAAGGTCCCCAGTTTCTCCCTTGGCTGGACCAGGTGGCAGCAGATCTGTTAGCTAGTGAGTTAGTGCCAGATGGCAGCCTGTCCAAGCTGGGTCCTGCCTGTGGAGTCCTAGGATCTGATGACCATTCCCTAGGGAGCCTGGAGAGACCCCCACACTTGCCAGGGCTTTAGCAGTGTTTCCTTCTTGTATTAGGTGCCTACTGGCTTACCCTGGGACATGGGCAATCTGGGGCCTCCTTGTAGCTCCAGGTTTGTGTGAGGGAGGGCAGAGCAGAGTGGGGGAGGGAGCAATGTCTGGTGGCCAGGAATTCCCACTTCTCATGCCTCTAACAATGATGAGAGGGCAGCCTCCCCTTTCTGGGCCTTGGTCCCCCATTGGTTAGGGACATGTGCTCTCTAGTGCAAGCCTAATAACCCAGGGCAGGGGTGCCGATATCACAAAGACTTGGGTTTGAACCCCAGCTGCATGGCCCTGGGTGGGTAAGCAGCACCACATCTGTGCAAAATGGGCATGATTGCACCTGTCCCAGGCAATGCGTGATGTCAGGGACAGATGTTACTGTGCTGAGTGCTTACCTCAGGGCCTGGCTCTGTGGTGAGAATAACTACTTTTCAGGTCCCTGGAATCAATAAATGAAGATTTTATCTCCTTCCTTTTCCCACTGAGGAAAAACTCTGCTGCCAGCTCTCCAGGACTGGAAAACTTGGGTCCCCTCACTGCAGGTCATGCTGTGCAGTCCTTGGCTCTGCAGCCACTGTCCTCTGTCCCATGGCTCCCTGCTTCACTCTTCCCTGCAAGGAAGGCTTTTATGCAGGATGCTTTGGGGGACAGTGCTGCTCTGTGACATTTGACTTCCTTCTGTGCTGGGCCTTGGCTTTGCTTGCTGCAATGAATTAGCCCGATCACCCTCCATCCAGACCCTTGATAGGATGATTTCTCTCCTGGCCCACTTTCCACTGATTCTGCCCCACACTTGCTGCCCTTAGTGGGACAGGCCCCACGGGGACCCTTGAGACGTTTTCCATGGTGCCTGCTCAGGCCCTGTAGGACCCTGCAACACTTGGGCATATCATGCATGTGAGCATGTGAGTGGACTGTGGGAGGTGGGATTTGAGTTGGCTATTACAGTGTCCCTGGGGCTCCCACTGCCTGCCCGGGAACCAGCTCCCATCTCCTTTTATTCTTCCCATCAGTGTGGGGCACTGCTTGTGTTCACAGCCAATCCCTATCCTGGCTCGTCGGTGCTGTGCTCAGCAACTTCCAGGGCTCCCACCGCTGGCCACAAGCCCATGGCACACAGGCCTGCTCTTGAATGCCGCATGCATGTTGCAGATGGGGGCACACGTGCTGGCTCTCGTGCCTGCCATGGCCCCGGGGAGTGGGGAGTCTGGCAGGAACAATCCCCCTGATGCAATCATCGGCTCTTTCTCTCAGCACCACAGAGGTATGGCTGGCTCCTCGCTGCCCACCACCACCGGGCACAGCTGCCAGCCTTTTGGGCACAGAGGAAGCAGTGAATTAGCGGTCATGCCTCCTCGGCAGATTGGCAGTTGCATTCAGTATGGGGGTGCCTGTGGGAGGCAGTGCCCACACCCCTGAGCTGGGTTCTAGAAGGTTCAGAGGGGCATGTATGCGTGTGTGTTAGAAAGGCTCGCCAAGGAAGCCTCTTCCTCCTCTCCCTCCCTTCCTTCTCTCTGTCTTGCCCAGACATTCCTCCATCACCATCAGATGCATCCTGCAGCCTGGGAACTGCCCCTCCCCCCATACTGCATACACAGGAGACAGAGTGACAGAGACTAAGACACAGAAAGGAAGGGAGACAGAAGCTAGAACAGAAGTGGAAAGGAATGGGAAAGACGGGGAGAATGGAGAAGGAAGGATGGAGAAAAAGGCAAGAAAGAGAGAAGAAAGGAGAGTGGGAAGTAGAGATGGAAGCGGGGAGTGGAGTGGGGTGCGTTGGCCCTGCACCTTGAAGGCACGTGGGCCACCCCCCGTGGTCCCTGTCAGAGACAAAGAGCTAGTTGGCCCTTCTGGGCTACCTGCAGCCCTTCACATTGTCCTCTGAATTACTGCGAGCTCTTCTAGGACCTGATGTGGGGACCTCCCCCATATGCTCTGCTGGATTCTGAGTTCTGTTTCATCAGTGGGAGGGGGAGGAGCAGCAGAGTGGTCAGCCAGCCCCAGGCCAAGCAGGACCTTTGTTCAGAACACTAGATATCCATTAATAGGCTTTCTGCACACTTACCTTTGGTTCTACTAATTTCTTTTTTTTTTTCAGTACTGGGGATTGAGCCCAGGGCCTTATGCATGCTAGGCAAGTGCTCTACCCCTGAGCCACCCCCCCCCCACTTCTTGTTTTACTTTTGATTTTGTTTGTTTTTACTAATTTTCAAAGCAGAGATGTCATTTGGTTGGCAACTGATGAGCTGGAGGTCCTAGAGACTTTTTCTCCTAGCCTAGCCTTCTAATCCACAGGAAGTGTTGTAGATGTGAGACCTGGGCAAGGTGATGTCCAAATCATGAGCTAAACTGTGGGGACTCAAGAGAACAGCTCCCCAACATGCCAGGACTTGGAGATGGTTGTGTGTGCTTCTATGATTCAGCGAGAGGTGTGACGGGAAAAGACTTCTAAGTCCTTCAATCACAATAGTTCCCCACGTATTGGACACACATATTATGTCAGCCACTGTGTTCATCTCACTGAATCTATAGAGTGGCCATGGAGATAGGAAATATCATTTACTCAATTTTTCACACGAAGAAACTGAGGCACAGAGAAGTTAAGGTACTTATTCAAAGTCGCACAGCCTATGAGTCACATAGTCACCCTAATGACTGAAAAATGTTGCCTGTCCTCTCCCCTGGGCAATGGCTGAGGTAGCCTCAGTGCTCCTGGGTGTGAAGGCATTCCACAGGCCTGGCGGAGGATGGGGGGGGCGGTCAGGAGGGTGGCAGCGCAGCCCTTCCCCTGCCTCCCCATACACGTGCCTCTAGCTTGGCCGTGGTGTTCTGTGCCCTGCCCGCTGCCCACCGCTGTGTGGTCCCCAGCGCAGGCCTCTCCTCTTTGCCTCTGAATTGCGACGTTGGCGGCAGAAGCGGGAAGCATATTGTGTGCAGAAACAAAACCGAGTGGTTTTTCCTTTTTCTGAAGGTGGTAATGGTGCAATTAGTGGCTAAGCCATTACCCCCCCCCCCTCGCTCCCCTCCTTCTCCTCTGCCTCCCTCCCTTTCTCTCCTGGGAAAGTGGCTGAATTAGAGAGCTCCCCTCCTCCTCCCTCACTCCTGACTCCTAGGAGGAAGGGCACAATGGGGGAGGGTACCTGATGTTGCCAGGGTCCTCTGGACTTAGGCTTGCTGGTCAGGGACTGTCGGGATTGGAGAATACCAAAAAGCAGACCATATATCTAGCATTCGAGGCAACCAGCAAGGCAATTTGGTTATTCAGAGGGGTGAGCTAGAACCCAGAGTGTCCGGATCCCTGGATCCTTCTGTCTGCCCCATGCTCGCTGGGGAGCAAATGCTGTCACAGGGGCTCAACCTGGGAACTGTGACATGAGCTAAGGGATACTTTTTTTCCACCCTGAGTGGAGGAGGTAAGTATGTAGAGTCAGAGGTTCCAAATACAAGCCAGAGTGATGGGATAATACTTTAATACTTCCCTTTTCTTTTTCTAGAAACTGAAAAAAGACCTTATGTTTACATACTTCCCAAAGGCCTTCATGACCCTTAAGCCACGGGAACTTCACAGCCTTTCTCTGCAAGGGCAGTTTTGTTCCCCTATTTTATAGAAAAGGAGTTGGAGGCTCAGAGAGGGTCAGTGACTTGCCCAGGGTTACAGAGTTTATAAATGCCAGAGCTGGAACTTGAACTCAGATCCTTACTCTTAAACTCTAGTTCCTTTTCTTCTTAAAACCCTGGGTTGTAGGTATTGCTGATGCTCCGAAGAACTGCAGTTGGTAGGGAAGTTGCCCACGGAATTTGGAAATGAAGCTTTCAGAGCAGGACAGGGCAGGTCCATGGCCTCTGGCCAGCCCCTGGTAAGCCAGGCCATGCTAACCTCACCAAAGCTGCCTCTTGCCTTTTTTACCTTGACTTGAAGCACAAACAGAAACTGGGACATGAGCCCCAGGAGACCAGATCTCCACTGTCCCTCTGGGCATGTAGGTTGGGGGAGAGGCTGCAGAAGAGGCCTCAGGAGGGACCCACTGTCACAGTAGTGAGAGGTCAGGGTGAGCAGGTGGCCAGAGTTATACCATCCACAATCCTGGGGTCTCCTCTGCACTTCTTCCCCAAGTTAGAGAAACAGGGTGATGGACAGAGTGGCAGAAGAGCAGAGAGGAAGAGCAAAATAAGAAGGACAGAGGCAGAGGTAAAACCCAACCAAACCACAGAGGGGAACACAGAGACAGTTATAGACACTGAGATCCACAGAGAGAGACATCCCAATGAATTAGCCATCATTTCCCTGTAAACCTTAGAACCCAGCTGTTGCCAGGGCAACGGGGCAATACCTGTCTCTCCAGAGAAGACGAAGTTGCCACGGTAACTACATCCTGTCTTTCCCAAGGACCATCCTGGAATGTGGCACCCACTGGCCGTTACCATGGCAACTGCCTCTTTGCCCCACTTAATCCCATCCCGTCTGCTATAAGGGACTCATAGTTGGAGGTGGGGGAGGTGGGAAGGAGAACATGACTTGTGGACTAAGTTTGTTCTCTTCCCCCTTCTCCATGCCCCTCAGTGCCTCACCCTAGGGGTGCCGAGTCCACCCTCCCTTGGCCCTGCACAGGCTTGCGGTATTGTGTGCGGTAGGGCCAGGGCGTCCGGGAGCAGGTTTTGCAGTAGAAGGCAGGCAGGTGTTGGGGAGGCAGTTACCGGGGCAACGGGAACAGGGCGTTTCGGAGGTGGTTGCCATGGGGACCTGGATGCTGACGAAGGCTCGCGAGGCTGTGAGCAGCCACAGTGCCCTGCTCAGAAGCCCCAGGCTCGTCAGTCAAGCCGGTTCTCCGTTTGCACTCAGCAACACGGGCAGGCGAGTGGCCCCTAGTTCCGGAAGCAGAGCAGCAGCGCCCCAGTCCTGGTGCCCCAGCCCCGAGCCTTGCCTGCCTGTCCAGTGCCAGGATGGCCACCATCACCTGCACCCGCTTCACAGAAGAGTATCAGCTCTTCGAGGAACTGGGAAAGTGAGTTGCACCTCAGGGAGTCCTGGAGGGTGCAGGGGGTCAGCCTCTCGGGCTGGGGGGCGTGTGCCTACATTGCTCGGGCTCTCTTGTGCACACAGAGGAAGGCAGGCTGCATGCTTTTGGGGCACTCGCATGTGCACAAGGTGCCCAGAGTCAGGCATAGGCATGTTTGTGGGTGCAGATGTGCCAAGCCAGCCAGGTGTGTGTGTGTAAGGGTGATAGGTTGGTGGTCTATGCCAGTGTGTGTGCATGTGTGGGGACACATGCACAAGTAGACACAACCTGGGTGCTCACAGATTCTTAGAAACTTAGGGTTAAAAGGGATTTTCCTACTCAGCTGGAATCCCTTCTCTAGTTTCTCTTGGATATCTGTGGTGACGGAGAGTTCACCACCTCCCAGGTAGCCCTTCCTGACTTTAGACACCTATAGCCCTTGTTCAGAGTGGCCAACTTCCTGTATGCATATCCTCTCCCCACTGTCCCCTTTCCAGCTCCTACCAGAAGTGAGGGCATAGGTATAGGAGGGGTTAATATGCGAAGGACTGGTGTTGGGTGGAGGGGAGGTGCAATCAGCAAGCTGGGGGGACACCACTGCTGCAGGGCTGATAATATGAAGGGTGAAGAGCTGGGATCCTTTGGCAAGGTTGCCCAGCCCCAGAGCCCATTTTATGCCTCTGATGACGGATGCGAGAAGGGTGGGAGGGTGAGGAGCCAGGGGAGTGTCTTGAGGGAGCCCAGTAGACTGCAGAAGGGGAAGGTCCCTGGATGCCCCCAGCTAGGCTTGTGGAGGACCTGGGATGATCAAGGGTTGGGGTGCTGTTTGGAGGTGGAGGGTGCCCTCTGGGCAAAGGAGCGCCAGTGCCCTGGTTAGTTATTACTGCCATGGCAGCTGGAGCATGGAGGAGAGGGCCTTTGGAAGCAGGTGTGTGTCAGTCGGAGGTCTAGACATGTGAGGCCAGGGTGCATTTTGAGGGGGAGGTTGATGCGTGCTGTTGTATAAGGACTTTCGAGGAGAGTTGGTCAGGTTGTATAAGTACTGACTCTGGGGTACACTTGTGTGCACCAAAAGGTTGTGCAAACATTCATGTTTGCTTGTGCACCAGAAAGAGGTGCTTATGTGTGTGATTGGTGTGTACAGCTTGAAAATGCAAGTGTGCCCTGCAAAGGTGCACATGTGTGAGAATGTGGAGTGCTGTTGGCTGGGTTGCACGGGAGTGAAGGTGTCACAGTGTGTCACTGTGTGAGTCCGTGTATGGCAGGTCAGAACTGGGTGCACATCAGTAAGCTATGAGTGTGGGGCCTAGGCATGTGTGAAGACCCACACGGAGGCATGGACTCAGCAGTATTCCCATGGGGTCTACATGTGCACATCTGTGAGATGCCTACAGGAAGGTGTGTGTGCATGTGTGTGTGTGTGCGTGTGTGAGGCCTGGGCTCACAGGCTCGTGTGGGTGTTGTAGGCGTGTGTGAGCTCATGCTGGTGTCTGCATATGTGTGGGAGGTGGGCCTATGGCTGTGTATAAGCAGAATGCCTGCACACGCACGCGCACGTACACGCATACACACGCTCAGCCTATCCTAACACCTAGAGACACAGGCCAGCTTCCTTATGCAGACACACACTCTTGTGCAAATGTGTTCACTCTTGCCTGCAGACTTCCTGCCTTTCTGAGTGTGTCTTTGTGCTGAAAGTGGGGGAAGGAATACAATGTTTAGAGCTGCTCTAGAGGACTGGGCTGTCCCCCAAATTCAAGCTGGGACCTCTCTTCATCTGGTCTCCAATGCCCACTTGGAACCTAGGAACTGTCTGGTTAGCCAGGAGCTGCCTTTAAGATTGCCACCAAGGCTGGCTTGTGGCAGGACTGCGTCACCGAGCATAGTGTGATGGTTGGAATGTGACTAAAGTGCTCAAAGTGACATCAAAAGTGCTGCTTTGCCCCTAGAGGAGAGGCTGTCAAGATGGGGCTTAGATTGGGTGACTTGCACAGAGACCCTCTGTGAGCCTTGTCACCCTCTGCCTGCCTGGGCTCTTGGAAGGACCAGGGCAGGAACAGGATTTCAGGGGAGAGGGAGCCCTGGCAGGAAAACTGAGGGTGACAGTCACGGCCGGGCCTTGTCTAATCAATGTCAGACCTCTTCCTTCCAGAACCCTCAGTGCTCTTAACCTTTTCTAGGTCACATATTCCTCCAGGAATCTGATGAAAGTCTAAATTGACATTCCCCAGAAAAATGCACAAACCTACAAAATGTTGCGGACACTGTCAGGAGCTTGCAGGGCCTTGGAGGACTGTGCCTGGGCCTGAGTTGGAAGATGCCTGGATTGGAGAGAAGGGGCTGAGGGGCCCGGCCCCACGTCTTCTAATGTCTGTGTTACGAAGTCCAGGGCACACCATGGGGGAGGCAGGCAGCTCGGGCTCTGTCTATCGGCTTCGGTCTGAGCGTCCAGTGGGGCAGGGTGGGCTGGCGGCACTCAGCTCTTAGCTCTGTGACACTGGGCACTCTGTGACACTTCTTCCCTCATCTACACCCTGGAGATTAAAAAGAGGAGTGAGGATTAAGTGGGATGGTGGGTGGAGCTGCAGCCTTGAGCCGGGGCACACAGGGACTCCAGCAGGACATCACTGCTGGGTTGGCTGTTGGGCTCTGGGGTTGGGCAGGGCTGGGGAAGGGAGCAAAGCCTTCTATTTCCCTTTTCTCTGGAGTCTGTGCAGTGTGGGGGAGGGTTGACCAAGGCTCTCCTGGGCTGGCAGAGAGGCTTTGGCTCCCCTTCTATCAGGGGGGCAGTGAAGATGCGTGCAAGGCCTACTCTTCAATTGGTGACTCCTGCCCCTTCCAGCCAGGAGAGTGTGGTCAAAACCCAGAAGCCAAGTCCCCTTCCAGAGCCCACTCCACGGCACTAGCAGGAGGACTGGCAGAGGAGGCTAAGTTGACTCTAAAAGGGGACATTGGGGCTTTGGGGCCTCCTTCAGCTGGGCCCTGTGCTGCTGAGCTGGAGAGGAGGGCAAGGACCCTCCAGGCTTCCTGTCCTGCCCAGTGAGGCCTGGCTTGTCACTGCAGGCCTTCCAGGACCCCAGGAAAGGGCAGGCTCCTGGCGGAAGGGGAGCTGCTCTTCCCCCCTAATGGGCAGCCAGCTGGGGGCTGTGGCTGGAGGCAGGGCCCTGAGCAGGGGTTTCTGGAGCTTCCAGATGCTACCAGACTGAAGGCCCCACCGGCCCAGAAGAGGCCAGAACTGAGTTCCAGGTCTCCTAGAGGGCTGGCATGAGGCTGTCTTGCGGGTCCCAGAGATGAGCTGACTTCCCTGTCCCCTGACCCTGACCCTCATCCCTTCCCAGGATGAGAGACATGGACGGCTGGAAGAGGAGCACTGAGTCTGGGGGGCAGGCAGGGACAGGGTGCTGGGTCACAGCTCCCACATACTCGGCCTTCTCCGAAGCCCAGGATCTCTGCGAAGGCAGGAGTGCTGCGGGTGGGGGCCAGAGAGACGCACAGAGAAAGGGGTCAGGGCCAAAGCATCGGAGGAGGAAGGAGGAAGCCTCCTCCAGTCTTTTCCATACAGGGCTCCAGATCCCACCCCTGCCACAGAGGTTAGAGAGACAGAGAATCACCCTGCAGCCTGTGTGATCACTGGGCTGTACAGGAAAAGCCTCCAAAGGAGATTTTACTTGAGAGAGGAGGGAGGGAAGGAGGGAGGGAGTTCAACCCACTCGTTTCTCTCTAGAAACAAGGATCTGAAATTGACTCAGGCAGTGCTGGGTAGGGGGAGGGTTGCGGGGGTGTGGGTGGCCAGCAAGGTTGACGGAGGGAGGAGAGGCTGGCCCCTGAGTCCGAGCCCTTCTTATTCCATGGATTTGCACTGTGCACCAGGCTGGGTCGGGCTGACTCATGGGTGGCAGGCAGCGTGGCCCAGAGGCAGCCCCCCACACTGGGGGCCAGGGTCCCGGCTGCTAAGGTTCAATCTTGGACCCAGACTCTGATGCCTGTTGAATGTTCTTAGCAACCCCACCCTTCTCTGACAGAGCCATTAGGAGGATGGACGATGTCATAGTGGAGAGAGAGGCCACCTAGACATCAGTGCCCCACCCAAAGATGGGAGTGTGCCATTATTCGGCTTCTAATAACCTCTCATACCCAGAACACTCTGGGGCTCACCAGGAGCACCTCCATCCATTAGCTCTTCTCTGGGGGGGCAGGCAGGGCTTATTTATCCATCTCACAGATGAGCAGACTGGGGCGAGGAGGTGGGGGCCTAGGGGATGGCACCCAGGTCTCCAGCACCCATGCATGCTCTGAAGGTTGCTGAGAGGGGCTCTCTAGATGCTGTAACCAGGGAGCATCTCCTCTCTTGAGCACAAACAAGGGAAAAGGGGCAGTAGCCTCGGGGTGGAAGGGACTCTGAGCTGTTCCTTAATTTTCAGCCATGATTCTGTCTTGAATTTGCTGGGCCACCCTGGATGAATCACTTATCCTTTGTGTACCACAACTTTACCATCTGTAAAATGGGGATCAAATCTCTATAGATGCCTGAAATGCTCCATTAGGGTGCTACCCCTTGCAGCCTCCCTTTGTGCAGGATTAATGAGAAGTTGCAGACCCTAGAGCATTGGAATTGGGAGGACCATAGAAAATGCCCATCCATTGCACAGACAAGAGACAACAACCAAAGGGAAGAAAAGTGATTTGTCCAAGGCCACAGTGAGAGGCAGTGGCAAAAGTCAGGAATGAGAGACAGTGATTTGCAGGGATCAGAAACCAAAGGATGGGAAATTGGGAGATAGGACCTCAAGAGGGGTGTAAAGGATGTCAGGCACTGTGGCACCTGCCTGTAATCCCAGCATCTTGGGAGGCTGAGACAGGAGGATTGCGAATTCAAGGCTAGCCTCAGCAACTTAGCAAGACCTTGTCTCAAAATTAAAATAATTAATAAATTAAATTTAAAAAGAGGGGGTGTGAGGACAGGGGAGGGGATAGCCTTTCCTCATGTTCTCCCTCCAAGCCACCCA